GTCTTGCTTTCATAGGTGACGTCTGTGTTGGTTAACAAGCCTATCCCGACACTCACTGGCCAGCCAGCCTAACCTAATGGGTGACTCACCTGTACTAGCGAGAGCTTTGTCTCAAAAGTCAAAGTGGACGACTCTTGAAGAATGACAGCTGAAGTTGATAACTCAACTGGCCTATACACAGACAGACAGACAGACAGACAGATAGAGATTCTTGTAATTGTTCTAGAGTACAGATTGCAAACTCCTTTGTGTAAAGGACCAGATATTAAAAGTTTCATCTCTGAGAGCTGTTGCTGGAGGGCTTCTCTCCAGGTTCCACCAAGCCCCGCAGTCCCACAATCCACTTATAAAATAATCACTCAGATGCTTATATCACTTATAAACTGTATGGCCGTGGCAGGCTTCTTGCTAACTGATCTTTTATCTTAAATTAACCCATTTCTATAAATCTACACCTTGCCACGTGGCTGGTGGCTTACCAGAGTCTTTACATGCTGCTTGTCCTTGCGGTGGCTGCTGTGTCTCCCCCTTCAGCCTTCTGCTTCCCAGAATTCTCCTCTCTCCTTGTCCCACCTACTTCCTGCCTGGCAACCTACTTCCTGCCTGGTCACTGACCATCAGTGTTTTATTTATATACAGCAATATCCACAGCAGAGAGCCCTGTGGTATTTGTATCAGCTACTCAACTTTGTCCCTGAAGCTTAGAAACAGTAGTAGATAATACACAAATGGGGCTGTTTTAATACTTTATTTATACACAAAAAAACCCAAATAACAATAACAACAAAAGCAAGTGGCTGTCTGAGTTTGACCTATGTGGTATTATTTGATAACACTTATCCCATTGCTACAATCAAATATTTGTCAAGAAACAACTTAAGGGTGAAAGGTTTTCTTTGGGCTCAGGGTCTGAGGATCCAGTTCATCATGGTGGGGAAGTATAGTGGTGAGGGCCGCCTCACGCTCATAAGAGTGTGAGGTGAATCAAGAAGCGGAGATGTGGCAGGCAGGGGGCTGGGCTGTAGATCTCTAGCGCTGTTCCCAGTGATCACCTCCAGCAAGCCTCTGACTTCTGAAAGCTCTACAAATTTCCCAACAACACTGTCAGTTGGGGTTCCAATATTCACACACATGAGCCTATGGAGAGAATTTCCCATTGAAACCATGGCAACACCCAGCAGAGAACAGCAAATGCTCATAGGCTGCCTTGCAGATACATGACCCTCACTAAGAAAAACCATTTTCCTTGTGCTTTGTCTGGGGTAGTTGTGGTAGAAGGTGTCATCTCACTGAAAACTATGGACATGCACAAAGCCCAAAACTATGGTTCAGCAGTGTCCTTCCCTTTTCCTTCCCTTCCTGGAGGGCGTTGCTTCAACCATTTACTGCTTTTAGTCCAATCCCTCCCAGCAACTTACACACACACACATCTATCTATCTATCTATCTATCTATCTATCTATCTATCTATCTATCTATCTATCTATCTAGATGTGTGTGTGTGTGTGTGTGTGTGTGTGTGTGTGTGTGTGTAGACGCTGTTTTTTTTGTTGTTGTTTATTTCATATTGATGAGGTCAGACTTCCTTATCTGGTAGACTTGTCTTTTTATCTCCACACAACCATGTGTCTTGGCACTGTGTGTTTGTTTCATGCTGGGGTTCAGATTCTGAGTATTTCAGTCTGGCTGTACTATAAACTGTTGTTAGTCTTCCCAAATGTTGGAGTTCTTCACAGTTTTTACTTTTACGACAGAGCCATGAAGAACACTGGTGTCCACGTTTTGAGGTATGTGTGTGCTGGGGATTAATTCAGGCTAAGCAAGTGCTCTGCCTCTGAGCTACATAGTCACCTCCAACTCTGCGCATTCTTTATTGGGAGAATGTGTAGGTTTTGCCTCTAGAATTGAGGACGTTGCTATCGATGAGGAAGTCATTTTTGGTTGAGGATGATCCATTCTCTCTTAAAGCCACTGTATTCCACTTCTGTAATCACATAAAAGGAGGCACAGACTGTATTTACATTGTGTTATATAAATACACTACGTAATACATAAAGTGTTATATAAATATAAAGTGTTACATTAAGCTGAGCAAGGAAGATAGATGAGGAGTATTTGATGGTCTCTGGAAAGGGAAGCCAGATTAGCAAGGCTGCCTGGATTTACAAGAGAAGAATTTGGTTCTGAAACAGTTTGCAAACAGTCAACTGCGGACAGCTGAGAGCCACCAAGACCTGGGTCTAGGTACAATAGGAGAACAGGGTAATCAGTAACCAAAGCCATGAGTTGGATGCATCTTATTTTGAGACAGAATGTGGAAAAGAGAAGGACAAAGAGACCAGAATGATGAACACTGTGCTAAGTTTTAGCGCAGCAACAGCTAGACAGTTGTCCAAACAGAGACATCAGAGAGGAAGTCAGGGCAGCGCAGTCAGTGTTGGAGACATGGAGGAAGGAGAGAACATGGGTGGTCCTGAGAGGTCAGGGAAATGAGGAGAGAGTGGCCTTGGAGATGGCCAGTGGGGAATATTGTTCTTACCACGGCTGGCTTAGCCTTTAGACTCACGCCTCTGCTTCACACACACTCAAAATAACTCGGTAATTAGGAACAGTGCCAAAAGACGAATAGCCTCATCGCTCACTTTAAGTATAAACCCTTCCACTAGCTTTATATTCATCATTTGGAGGAGGAAAGTCAACACCCTCTACAACCAGCATAGGCATTGGGTTTTTAAAGAATTATTGGTAACTTTCGGGAAATGGATTTGTTGGGAAACATCCTGCTCATGTTTTTCTGAGTAGAGAGCAAAGAAAGAGTGAGATAAGGTTTGAAGCAAAGCCATTCTCTTTTTTATCCCTTTTTATTAAAAATGTTTTTATACAATATATGAACAAAAGTTCACATTTTTTCTCACCAGTTCCCCCACCCTCCCCTCTTCTTTCTTTTTTCTTTCTCTTCTTCCTCCTGTTCTTCCTCTTCTTCCTTGATCTCTCTCAAAATAAACACCCCCCAATGAAAATTAAAATAAATAAGGAAACAAATGAAAAACCAAAAAGACAAAACAAAAGCAAAGCAAACACCCAAAACAAAACAGAAAAAAGGGGAACAAAAAGCACACACACAAACACACACACAGACACACACAAACACATACACAAACACACACAGACACACACACAAACACACACACAGACACACACACAAACACATACACAAACACACACAGACACACACAAAAGCATACACACAAACACACACACAAACACACACACACAGACACACACACAAACACATACACAAACACACAGAGACACACAAACACACACACACACACACACACACACACACAAACACACAAACCCACAAACACACCCAGCAATATCGACTCTATTTTGTGTTGGCCAACTCTTCCTGGGCATGAGACCTGCTTTAGAGTGTGGTTGATGTACTCAGTGACACTCTGTTGGAGAAAACCAGTTTTTTCCTTTTCTGAGCAGATACCAGTTGCAAATAGCTTCTTGATTAAGGGCAGGACTTTGTGTCCACTTTTCCTCCTCTGTGCTGGGATTTTGTCTGTCTTGAGCCTATGCAGATCTTGTGTATGGAAAAACTCTTTTCCAATGTCTAATTTACCTTTTTAGAATTTGAATATATATATTTTATTATCCTACATGAATTCTTTTTCTTACTAACACATATTTTTCGTAACAAGATTCAGGGTGATAAATGCTGTGGCATGCGAGGCTCAAACCCTGCCTCTTTCTAATACTTAATGATCACTATTCTACTTTCAGGTTGTTATCTGAATTCTGTGTTAAAAAATTTAATAACTGAGCCTCCTAGTTCTTAATTTTATTTTTATTTCTTTACATTTTAGCTGGGTAGTGATACACAACTTCAATCCCAGCACTCAGGAGGCAGAGGCAGGTGGATCTCTGAGTTTGAGACCAGCCTAGTCCATAGAGTGAGTTCTAGGACAGCCAGAACTACAAAGAGAAACTCTGTCTCAAAAAACTAAAAAGAATAAAAATTAAACTATATATTTGTGTGGATATATACATATGAGTGCAAATGTCCAAAGAAGTCGGAAAAGAACATTTGGTCCCTGGAACCGGAGTAAGTTGCCAGATGTGTCCTTAACCTTTGAGCTACCTCTCCAGCCCTGAGCCTTCTAGTTCTTCATGTATACTTACTGGTTCTATTTAAGAAATGTCTAATGTAGGGTGTGCTCTGTAGCAAATCTTTCTAATTTCTCATTATTGTTACCTAATGCTTTAAGACAGTTCTGTGGTAGATATGTTTTATGATGTGAAGAATTTTGAATCAGTAAATTGGACATGGTAATACAGGCCTATACTCCCAGCATTTGGGAGGTTGGGGCAAGAGGATCAAGAACTCAAGGTCATTGTCTTGGTTATTTTTCAATTGCTGGGACAAAACACCATATCCAAGACAACTTATAGAAACATGGAGGGACACAAGTCAATCCCAAGCAACATCTATGCTTCCCTGGGTGTCTTAAGTGGTGTTTTCGAGACGTACTTAGCACACCTGTTACACTCTAGGCTCCTTAGCTCTGCTACAGTTTGCTGCCTCTTGTACTGCCCTCTGGGTTTTAATGACTTTTAAAAATGTTCATGGCTGGGCATGGTGGTACATGCCTTTAATCCTAGCACTCAGGAGGCAGAGGCAGGCAGAACTCCAACTTTAGGGCAGCCTGGGTCCACAAAGTGAGTTCCAGTATAGTTGGGGATACACAGAGAAATCTTGTCTCAGAAAAAACAAACAACAAAAAACAATAACAAAAAATGTTCACAGTTTGCTTCATGTATTTCGTCAGTGTATATTATTCTTTTCTTTTCATAAACATTCTGTGGAAGCATTTCAAAGTAAATACAAAGACATCCTGACACATACCATTAAGTGTTTATTTTCATGTATCTCAATACAAGAGCATTTTCCACTTTATTTGATTATGTTTACTGCTTATGTTTTCTCAGATACAAGTCTTCAGTTTTGGTATTTTCCTGGAGAACTGATTTCATCTCTCTGAGTGCTTCCTTCTGCATCAGATCTGCAGACTGGTGTTTCTCCGACCATTCCGTCATTCCTAAAGCGGCCTGTGCTTAAATAACATTGGGGAATGCTGGTGGACGTGCATCTGGAGGCAGCAGTTCCGGTTCTTACTTGTTGCTTTAGTGACAGCATCTGGATGCTACCCCTGGGAAGTTCACTAAGGCTACACTGTGATTTCTGTTTCTACGAGACTGAAAACCCCTCATGCCTTGAGGATGCTAAATTCTAGACACTATTTTATTTTGTACCCTTATCTACTATGCTTCTTGGAGATGTTCTGGCTGCTTTAAAGGTTTTCCAGAACATTTACTGTTTTTATTCTTTTTTTTTTTTTTCTAGACAGGGTTTCTCTTTGTAGATTCTGTGCCTGCCCTGGATCTCACTCTGTAGATCAGGCTGGCCTCAAACTCACAGAGATCCACCTGGCTCTGCCTCCTGAGTGCTGGGATTAAAGGCGAGCACCACCACCATTTGGCTACTGTCTTTATTCTTAATATCTTACAGGAAGTAAGTCAGGAATTCATATCAAAGATGCCATCTCCACCCTTATCCCTGTCTTTATTCTGAGTTCAGTCACAGGACCACCATATTGCTAGCTTTTCCCTAGTCCATTTAAGCTTCTGTAACCACACAGTATAAAGTGGGGAGCTTGTAAACCACAGAAAGTCAGTTCCTACAGCGACAGAGGCTGGACAGAAGTCTAGAGCCAGCCCTTATTGTATTTGGTGTCTAGCAAAGGCTCATAGATAGAGTCACCTTCCTACGTTGTCAATGGCACAAGAAAAAGGCTCCCTCAGGCCACTTCTTGTTTAGTCACCTTCCTCAAAGTTCTACTTCCTAGTACTGTTTATTACCATGGGAGCTAGGAATACATCACAGGGAGTGTGTGTAAGGTAGCATATATTGCTGGGGTCGGGGGATGGGATGACAAACATTGAGACTAACAGCTTGCATCTACATTCCCATTCCAAAATCTTGTAAGGATGTTTACTTTCTTTTCTCTTGAACTTCAATAAACAAAGGCTTTGCTTTCTCTTATCTCTTGATAATCCTTGTGAAATAAAATCTCATTGTCTTTATTACTTATTTGGCATAGGTAAAGTTCTATGTTGAGTCTGCCCTGTTCTCTGACTTAGGCAAATGTCCTTGACCACTTTCATGAAAATGCTGCCCTCTTACCTGCTGCCCTGGATTCGACTCTTTGCTTCCCATGGATTTATCAGGTCTTCATCTCAATTTCTGACTCCTGAGTTTTTATAATACTGGCACAGTTTAGGCAATTGTTTCATCTGGTGCCCCACACTGGGTGCCATGTGTAGTAGGCTTTTTGGACTGCCAGCCCCCAAATCATGACACAGAGATTTATTATTGATTATGAAAGCTTGACTTTAGCTTAGGCTTGTTTCTAACTAGCTCTCATAACTTCAGTTAGTCCATTTCTATTAATCTCATGCTACTACATGGTTCATGGCTTCTACCTCTCCTCCTGTGTGTCTTGCTTCCTCCCAGCTTCCCCTGCATCTCATCCATGTCTGGATTCCTCTCCTCTTCTCTCTTCCTGCCTGGAAGTCCCATCTAACTTCTTCCTGCCTAACTACTGGCCATTCAGATCTTTATTAAACCGATCAGAAGGTGCCTTGGCAAAGACACACCTTCACAGTGTACAAAAAGATTATTCCACAACAAGTGGGGTCTTTCTAGACATGCCCAGTGAATCACTTACATCTGCCCCCAACTATTCATTCCCTTCTAGGTTTTTAAACTGCTTGTTTAATTATATTCCCGTTTTTTCCTTTTGAGCTTCTAATGAAACAAAACAAACAAACAAACAAACAAACAAACAAACAAACAAACAAACAAAAAACAGTAAGAATAGTACCTGGAGCCAAGAAAATTAAAAGATGAATGGGTGGGCAGTCAGGTTGCGTGCTTTAAGGTGATATGTTTCCAGAGTTAATTCATTTGGTGCACTAGGTGGTTTCCTGGAGAACAGTTTTTAGTTCATTTGCCACACTGAAAAGAAACAGCTTTAAAACATGTCTTTACAGCTAACATTTCAAAAAAGTTTTCCAATATTTCTGTAAGAAAAGAGGATAGGTACAGCAATTCTCTCTCTCCCCCCCTCTCTCGCCAGAGTTTCTCTGGGAACTGCATTGTGAGTGATTGTGGGTAGATTTTATTTTCTTCAAAGTGACAGTGTTGGATTTGAGGACCCCATTTCCCTAGAGGTTCCCACGCATCCTAGAGCCTTTCTGAAAGCAGTGCAGTAGGACTGTAGGAACAGACACAGAGCTGACCAATGCTTCCAGACTGTTTTCTCACAGTGATATTTTGTTGGTTGTTTTTACTCTTTGTTCTTTTGGGGGGCCACCCAAATAAATTATGTGGAGGCTTATTGTTACTTATAAATGCCCAGCCTTAGCTTGGCTTATTTTTACACTTGATCTTACCCAAAAGGCCGAGAAGCGATAGCTTGGCTTATTTTTTAACCAGCCTTTCTTAACTTAAATTATCCCATCTTTTGCTTCTGGGCTTTTACTTTTCTCTATTCTGTATAACCTGCTTTACTTCTTACTCCATGGCTTGCTGTGTAGTTGGGTGGCTGACCCCTGGACTCCTCCTTCTCTCACTCCTAGATCTCCCCTCCCCAGATTTCTCCTCCTATTTATTCTCTCTGCCTGCCACCCCTGCCTATCCTTTCTCCTGCCTTGCTATTGGCCATTCAGTTCTTTATTAGACCATTAGGTGTTTTAGACAGGCAAAGTAACACAGCTTCACAGAGTTAAACAAATGCAACATAAAAGAATGCAACACATCTTTGTATCATTAAACAAATGTTCCACAGCATAAGCAAATGTAACACATCTTTAACTAATATTCTACAACAGGGGAAAAGACCTAAGGTTGGGGAGATGTCTCAGCCTCTAAAGTGCTTGCTGAGCAAGCATGAGAACCCAAGTTCAATCCTCAGCACCCACATACAGCCAGGTACACTGGGAAGCACCTATAACCCCAGTCCTGAGAGGCAGAAATGGGAGGATCCTTGGAGGTGGCTGAACACCTAGTCCAGCCAAATTGGTGAGCTCCAGGTTCATTTAGAGACACTGTCTGAAAGAGAGTGATGGAGGAAGAGATCCTGCTGATCCATGGATTCCACATGAATGTACACACACACACACACACACACACACACACACACACACACACACCATCTCAAAGATTTTCAAGTTCACTCTCCAGTGTCCTCAATTGATTCAGTGACAGACACAACTGGTGAGACAGGCAGATGAAATAGGCTCTGCAGCTGCTCTGTGGACAGATAACAGTTATCAGGGCTCCCGCACCTCACCGCTGACCTCAACCATCACGACTAGACTGTAAGACCAGAACTCTTCAGTGGAGCATTGCCACAGCAGTGCTGTGACTGGGGTCAAGTTGCATCTTCATTAAGGTGCATGTGCTTTGGACGGTGACCAGCTAAAGGCTATAAAGTTTATATATATATAAATCATCACATGACTGAATTATAGAATTCACACATTTTACAACATCAGTGTGTAATGGAGTTTCTACTGTGTCCTAGGCAGTGGGGCAACAAATTAGAACAATAGATTTATCCCCAAGGAGCTAATATTCTACTACAGAGACAAGACTACGATAACTGAACAAAATATATATCAAAATTATATTCATATATAACTTCAGTTAAAGATCCATGCTGTAGGGAAAGATTCAGATGAGATGGGGCTATTTTAAAAAGACTGTGCGTGTGTCAGACTGTTGTACAGGCACTGCAAGGCCTTCGCTGAGTCCTTGAGCCCAGGGCCAGTAGAGGTGTCATGTACGTCCCAAGATCTGATTTAGCACTGGCCATTGGCTCGAAGCACCCGGCAGGAATGGTGGTTTTGGTGCAACCAGTGGTGAACTTCACGTGTATTTCAAGGGTCTTTGGGGCATTATGCTTCCGTGGTTGAAAATCTCTGTGGTGTGTCCTACAACTCACAATTGTTATAAGTTGATTTTAAGGTATTGGAGGGGTTTGAAGAGACAAATAGCTTAAACTTAATTATTAAAAAGTCGTGTTCCTCTGTGAAAAACAGACTACCAAGATGTGGAGGGACACTGCAGGATGGAGACAAAAGCTGTCTGGATTAGAAGCAACAGAAATGATGAGCTAGGATAAAGTTTTGGAAGAATCTAGAGAGAGAGTTAAGATATTTGTGAGAAGAGGTAAGAATGTTTGCCCTCATCCGTGGAGATGGAAAATATTCAGGATGGCTAGTTCAATCAAGGCTCAGTTTTATGGATGCTTGTAAGTTTGAAACACCCATAAGATATGAGTGGTACCTGGTGGCCAGCTGGATATCCATGCAAACGTAGAGGACTAACAGTGTAGAGATAGAATATGTTGGAGTGTGTGCTAGGTTTCATCTGTGCAATTTAATTTAAATGAAAATGAAAGGGTCCTCTTGAGAGTAAGCAATGTGAAGAAGGGAGAACCCAAGACAGCTTGGCCTCCACACCATGGAGGTGAGGAACAGAGAGGCACGGAAGGAACCATCGGAGGAGCAGCTACTGAAGTGGAAGGGGGCTATGGCAGTAGTGTCCCAGAATACGTTTCAGGGAAGAAGTGATCCACTACATCCAGAGCTGCCAAGAAACTGGTGGGAATTCTAAAGTGACCTTGGGAAAGGCAAGATGAAGGTCTTGATGACCTTGACAAGAATGAGCCCATAGGCCAGTAGGGAAATGGGCAGATGGGTGGTGGGAGGGTGGTAAGTGCAGATGGTAAGCCGAGGCCTTTCTTCAGAGCAGAAAATGGGGTACACCCACAGCATGTGTCTGTGTGTGAATGTTTCAGAGTGGAGATCTAAACTAAATACTCAGAGCAGGCTGTGACTTTTTTTTTTGTTTTGTTTTGTTTTTTGTTTTTTGAGACAGGGTTTCTCTGTAGTTTTGGTGCCTGTCCTGATCTCACTTTGTAGACCAGGCTGGCCTGGAACTCACAGAGATCCGCCTGCCTCTGCCTCCGGAGTGCTGGGATTAAAGGCGTGCGCCACCACCGCCCGGTGTCAGGCTGTGACTTTTTAGGGGTTTCTGGACAAGCACGAGCTGTCCTGGCCTAGGGACAGTGGGACCGGAAGTCTGAGGACAGGCCGGCTGTCAGAGGTGCTGACACAGCCGTGCTTGTAGATTCTGCAGTAGGCCAGAGGAAGGTACCTGCCTGCTTGCTTCTGTTTTCATGGTGAGATAGGAGGTAAGATCATTGTTAAAAGGAAGGAACTGAATGTGGAGGTACATGTGCTTAGGAGGCTGAGACAGGAGGATTGTGAGTTCTAGAGCAGTGCCAGCTCCACAGAGGGCCTCTGACAAACAGAGACCTAGAAAGAAGGAAGGATGTGAAAGGGGTTCAAGGATGGACTGATAGAAGATCAAGAAAAGGAGATAAAGAAGGGGTGACACAGTTGTCTCCAGTCCCAGACTTCAAGAGAGTGAGCAACAGTTCTCAACTTGGGGGTCACGACCCATTTGAGCATTTGAATGACCCTTTCATAGGAGTTGCTTAAGACCATCAGAAAACAGATTTTTTTTTTAATATCACAATGCATAAAAGTAGCAAAATTATAGTTATGAAGCAGCAACGGAAATAATTGTATGGCTGTGGGTTACTTGAGGAACTGTGTTCAAGGGTGGCGCGGGGTCAGGAAGGGTGAGAACCACTGCTTTACAGGGTAGAACCGAAGCCTGCCAGGCAAACAGAGGGCTCAGCCGAACTGGGCTAGCAATACCGAAAAGAGGCCGTCTGTGCAGTGAAGAGCTCTCTTCCGGCTGTGTACTGCAGGGGTTCTCAAGCGGGGAAATTTCGCCTCCGACAGGACATCTGCAAAGGCTTGAGGATATTTTGGTCGTCGGGTGATTGTGAACGAGGAGCATGGCACTATGGGTTGGAGATCACATAGCACCTTCTTTTGGCAGTAGCAGCACTTAGCGCCTATGGGAAGGTCGTTGGAAGATTGACAGAAAGAAGGCCGGTCCTCCGCAGCTCAGC